AACGTGCAGACTAATCTACATATAAACCATATGATATTCTATTGTGCAAACAAACATTTTTGAGTTTGTAATTTAGTGAAACTGACGTTGGTCACGTAAGATAAACACTTAGAAGACACTTTTGAAACAAGATGAGCTTCTAAGTAAATAGACACATATGCGGTGCGTATCCCTTAAAAGTAAATTTGTTGTTTTAATGTTTAAACACATAAAAAAATCCATATAGAACATGAACAAGGAAAGATTTATATGGGAAATAACTAAAGAGAAGTATACCTCATACGATAATATTGATATAAAGTGCGTTTAGACAAACTACAATCCTTTTAAAATCAAAAATCTTTTTAGCTATAGAAATCCGAGGTCATCAAATTTACTGTCACAAGTTTCATAAAGTTTCATTGAGTCATCTGCACGATGTTTGTGTTAGAATTCAACACAATGGTGCTTTGATGGTCTTACGATTCCTAATGTATGAGACGGATTGCCATAAAAAACTCACAATTCACTGCATGGTTACGTAACAAAAGAATCACAATGATGGTAGCTAATCTATAACTACGGTACACCGAGATTTTTCGCCTCAGCTTGTTTTCGCCTGTGTACCATTGTATACCAATTTGCCCATGGTAATTTCAACCTCAGCGGGTCATATAATAGAACTATATGTTATATAATTATAAGGGTAACAAATTTTCGCCCCATCTTAAATTTTACCTCCAGGTCCATGAACGCAAAGGTAAAATTGAATGGTGATGAATTAAATCAAACAGATATGATTGATCTAAAAGGAATCCAATTAAAAATTAGGAAATAGTGTTGTGTTTGTGTGTGTGCGAAAGGCGGGGTGGGTGAGTTATTGTGTGTGGTGTGTAGTGTGTAGTGTGTGTGGGGGGTGGGAGGGGGTGGATAAGTGAGTTATTGTGTGTGGTGTGTAGTGTGTAGTGTGTGTGGGGGGGTGGGGGTGGGGGTTGGTTGGTAAATGAGTTATTGTGTGTGGTGTGTAGTGTGGTGTGTGTGTGTGTGTGGGGGGGGGGGGGGGGGGTAAGTGAGTTATTGTGTGTGGTGTGTAGTCTGTTTGCTGAGTAAGACAACTTCCTTGTTAAATCTAATACAGTGTGTTATATACAGAATATGCTGAGCGTATGAACACGATACAGTTGGTACACTTTATTTAATTACCTTTGAAGTCCTTTGAAATAATTGATAAGAATTTACAAAGTATATGACTCGATATAACATTTCCCAGGAAAATATGTATACTTCTACAGGCTACACTAGACAACAAAACGTGTTACAGTATGTACACAACAGATTTGTCTAACATATAAGTATTCCACGATCGCTGAGAAAAGCTGGACATAATGGAGGAGAACTTCTGTCCTTTATTTGGCCATAAGCCTTCTTGATGCAAAAATGAATGTCCGTTAATTTGCGTAACAATGTACTTATGTTTTAAGATCGTTGCATTGTTTTATTGCATTTCATAAGCCAATTCAGTGAATTTTCCTATGTGTTAACTATCAATCTCTCGACTGGAATATATTACATTCTGCTATAATTAATGTATTTTTTGTCTGATTGTTTTTTGCCATCGCAATTAGAATTAATTAAACAGATAACATTTTTCATGAATGAATATGTAATAGATCCCAAATATATGTCCTTACTGGGACGTAAAAAAGACATGGACACACACACAACACACACACACAAACACACACATACACACACAAACCCTCTCTCTCTCTCTCTCACACACACACACACACACACACACACACACACACACACACACACACACACACACACACACACACACACACACACACACACACACACACACACACACACACACACACACACACACACACACACACCCACACACACACACACACACACACACACACACACACACACACACACACACACACACACACACGTTGTGATATTAGCGATCTCATTTGTAATCAACTCCGGACCTGTATCACATGCTTTACAACAAGAGTCTATATCTAAATGAACCTTAAGTCCTGTTCATCTTCATTACTTTCCAGTTGCTAATACTGCAGAATCAATTATTTCAGCGTGTCAACTTATACATATCACAGCTATGTCATACATTGAGAACTGTTTACGTGTAGACTTTATGTAAAATCTTTAAGACAGTTGAACATGTATTAAATGTTTCACTGATAGAGATTGTAGAGATTGACAACACATGTAGCATTCTGTCATAATGTAGGTATATGTAGTCACTCCCTGGTAATTACACGTGGAAGCCTAATTATAATCGAGTGCAATAGAATTTATCTTTGTCATACAGATGACAAGTAGACCTATTTATTAGTAGATTATTCTATTCTAATCATTATTCTCATTGTCGGTTTCATTACATGTCGTCCGTCCTCTTTGTTCCCGGTGATTACAATACAGCACTGTACTCCTCACTGAAACCTGTTAAAGAACTTCTTACTTAATTTTTATTGGGCATCAACGGACCACCACAGTGTAAGCTGACAAACATATTATACGGGGAATAATGTAGATATTGAAAAGAGTACAGATTCATATAAAACATCACTACGCAATGAAGATCACATATTTACGTTACACAAATCTCACGGAGAAATATTCTATGTCTTTGTGCATATGAAGCTGGACATGTTTGATGTCAGTAAAGGCACATAGTAACTGTTGTTGACATTACTTACCTTGAATGACAAAAGTTTACATGGCGGTTGTCGTCGATGAAGCAGAAGACGCTTACTCTTTCGGAGCACCTGGTCCCATTCTTCTTTTTCCTTTATCGTATTTTTTCCCTTATTTTACATAATTTGAGTTTGAATTATGATTCCGTAAAAAAATATCTCTGATTTCTTTGTTGCCTATGTACAAATAAACCGGGCCATGTGCTTATACTTAAATGTTGTTTAAGGGAATTTGTTTAAATGTAAAATTTTGTTTTCCAATATCAGTGGCAACGCCGTATATTGTCATGGAGATGCCGGAATAGAGGCGGATGTCATGTAAGACTACTATTTAATACGTGAAGGGCTTACCTCCGATTCAGTATTGTTCTCTTAACTCAACGTAAATATATAGAGTATACCCAATCTCCAACGGTTGTAAGATAATATAGTGAAACAATCGTAAAAAATATCGTCCTCTGGGCCGAAACATGTCTTTTGCTAAATTGAACATTTTATATCCGGGAACAAAATGAAAATTCTACTTGACATTATGAGATGAAAACCTGACCATGAATCTCGTAGTTAATGTTATACAACATACAGGATTAGTTGGTTAATATGTCAGAGATAAGACTTAATGTGTCCAAATTTAATTAGCTAACTTCCATGTGTAATTTAAACCTAAGGATATAAATGTTTACTGACATACTGGAAAGTATATAGCTGGTGTGTGATATTAATGTTGAATATTTAATTTTTAACACGTGCGCATTATCAATAAACACCGCTGTCACTGATATTCGAGGGAAAGACTTTAAGTACTAAAAGTACACCAGACTTTCGAATAGTTCCATTGTTTATGAAATTATGAAATTTATTGAATGGTGGGGCTAGTGCAATCCCCGCACACACACACACACACACACAACCAACAACACCACCACACCACCACCACACCACCACCACACACACACCACCACACACACACACACACACACACACACACACACACACACACACACACACACACACACACACACACACACACACACACACACACACACACACACACACACACACACACACACACACACACACACACACCCTCACACACCACCACCACACACACTCACACACATACATACAAACACACACACACACACCCTCACACACACACACACACACACCCGTACACACACACACCCTCACACACACACACACACCCTCACACACACATCCTCACACACAATCTAGATTTTGAAATTTCTTTCGATTAAGTTTGCTTTTCTTGAATCGCTACATTTTTTAAACTTTAGGCTCTTATTGTTACGGAGGAGCCCTACATGGACGAAACAACTGTATAATTTAGTTTAATTTATTATTTGGCTCTATTCTGTATCTAATTTTAGATCTGTATTGAAAGGTGCCATATATTTGTGTCTCTTTGCACAATCTTATATCATGTCAATGGATCTTTATTTTCACAGTTTAAATGGAATCTCATTATGTCATTTAAAACGAAAGAAGGGTCAAATTACACAGAATGGCACGCAGTATTGTATGAAACAGATCCTGTTTGCTCTGATGGTTTTACTAACAACTTAGAATTATTACAAGGCTTCTTAAATATTCTTTATAACAAACTTTTACAAGTAGATATCTTAAAATGTATTATTGACATAGGCTGTCTGTTTTTATGTTAACTCTATTAATCAGTATTCAAAATTAAAAAGTAGTAAGTAATTTATGTAAATTTATATTAAAAGCATTTAAAATTAGATCAAATAATGTATAATTTTTGATAAACCATACTTAATACAGATCCTAGCATTGTTAACCATCACTCTACATTATTGTATATTTAATCATACTATTTTACTGATGAACAACTCAAGGATGAATAAGATTTGGTAAATGTCCCGGTCATCAGGTAAAGGAGCTACTCATGAAGAAAAATAGGATTATATTTAATTTGAAGATTTGTTATAAATTTTATTCATTTTTATATATTTTCTTCAATTCTACATTTCTATAGAAAGAGTGTTTGCAAACAACCATTAATGTTGTAAATTTCGTCAGCCAATCACTGTGCACCTACACATAGAGTGTTTAAACTCACAGAGGACAACAGGCTGATTGAACGGACACGTCGTCCTGTGTTAGGCGATCAATCCGTCATTAGTTGTTGAGATTTCACGGCGGTAGTAGTGCCGCATGCAGCGCTTACATTTATAACACTTTGTATCATTACTTTTAAACCAACGATTCCTATAAAAGGTTTTCATTGTGGATTTTCTTTTTTTTAAGGACGATAAAACAAGAAACATCCCATCATTTGTCTCAGCAGGCCTCAGAAGTAGGTAAGGAAACGCTATCAATTTTGAAATATTTTTTGAAAACGTTTTTATATTCAGTTATCTGATTTATAACATTAATATGCCAGAGCACGTTTTCTTTTGTATATTATATATGTCGTTATAGGCATCAGGTTTACTTTCATTAATGTTTCGTATGGGAGGCCACATGTTTGGCCCCCAGAACGATTGACGAAACAGATTTAGTATACAACTTTATAAACTTAATATAAGGTAAAATGTTCATATCTTTGCCACTGACTGTAGAATGATTACATAGGATCCTTTTGTATTTACAGTTCAAAATTCACACAATTATTTGCATTTTATATATACTAAGCACTCCTCTCTCCGCCGCCACTCTCAGTTCGTAATCACACCCTCACTCTCTGGTGTCCATACAACAACTATTCTCCTCAGAAAACAGTCTTCATTAACACAGGATCGCTCAGTAAATGTGACGCCCCGCACTCACTTACCGACAATTAAAAGTATTGACTTACAGTCAATACAAAAGTAATATCGTATGATATGCCTGCATATAATTACATTTATATGTCTAAGGAATGCATGACTATTCACCTGTATCCTCACAAGGTAATCTTACAACACCTTATCTTCCCATTTGACATTTATTACGGCTGGCCGTCCATCATCCTTTAATTTCGACCTATATGTTGCACTAGTTCTTTTCCCAGTCTTCTCCAGTCGATCCGGAAGAACTGGTTTCCCCGAGCTCCATGAACCGTCATCGTTCCTCAGCAATGACCCTTCTTTCACCGTATAACACTGTCCGGAGGTCAGGTGATTTGCTGTGTTAAAGACTTCCTAAAATGTTTTGGGGTTGGACAACAACACGATCCGTTTGGTATTGTCAGTTAGTCCTTGAATAAAACGTTGATAAGTGTTTGTCTTTCGTCAGGAGACATTTCATTATAAGTACTGATAGATAGCTAGTTAAAATGTGATGCAAAGTCATCAAACCTTTTACTTCGCTTGGGATAATGCACTGCAGTACATATATTTGAGTTCTGCGGGCTTAATTAGGTAACTGACATATCTCCATCTAATGTATCATTAAAGTCGGCTGCTCTGTAAGATTTCTGTTTTTCTCGCACCATTCCATCCATTGGCCCTTCTGCCGGTTAAAATAATTAATCCCGGAATGTCACAATTTAATGTTCCATAAATTACTGAAGGTTTAACATTAATTAAAGATTGTTAAAATCTTTGAGACTGCTCTTTAGCACTGGCAAATTCTTCATTCTTTTCCTCCATGATACCACTTTTCTCTCTTTATTCACGACCTTTTGTATCGTTTTCACACCGCTTAAGTTTCTGTCTATAATATTCTCATCCCGCTGTTGTTTATGATGGCTACCGCTGCCACCAAATGTGACGGAACCACTGCTTTGCCACTGGTTCTAGAATGATGACTTAAGATTCTTTTCTATTTACGGTTTATTTACAGTTTTGAATAGAGTTATTTACATCCCATAATTTCTCCGTCCGCCACTCTCAGATTATAATCACGTCTTCACTCTCAGAATTCAGTTATCCTTTACATATCATCGCTCACCTCAATGACCACACACCATACTCCGTTCCCACGACACTGTTTAATTGCAATAATCAATCTCTCTAATTTCCTTTTGATTAACTTTCACCCTCAATCGAATCAAGTCAAATTACTTACTTTATAATTAACCCAACATTATTAAAACAATAAACATCCACCTTACATCACTGGACACTCTTCCTAATTATCACAGCTGACCACTCTGACAAGGTTCTCTTAATAGTCAATAAGTTTGAATCATCGGACACTTCATCTGTCTCTCTGCCTTAAATGTTTCTCCCCATTACCCACAAAGATACCACTCTTTCACATGTTGTAAAATTGTCATAGGAAATATATGGCCATATTTACTTTACATGTAGACAGATTGCACGAAAGATACACAAGTGAAAAGCACTATTTAATAGTTTAGGGCGAGAAATAAAATGAAGGTTATTTTTATTAGGGAAAGTTAACCAAATTTAGAGTGTTCTATTGGAGGGAGTGGAGTAAGGTTAGACAGAAGAGGTACCGGTGAGAATACGTCTCAATTAATATAGTATATTGGATGAGATATCTGATTAATCATAATATTTGTTTCAGAGGGACGTTGGACAAGAATGCCGAGGAAAGGAAGACATGCCATTGGTAGATATTAGCAAAACATGTGGAAGGAATATGTTCACAGAGCATGTCAAGCACAGTAACACCAGACTGTGAATTGACTGCGTTAAGTGTCATAGTCATCTGTAGCCATACTTAACTGAACAAATATGTTGAATCTATTTCCTTTTTCCATGTCGCCTTAAACATTACTGTGTACTCAACCAGACCTTTTTTCCCGAATCGTATTCCAAATGAGAGACTTGTTTTAGACTTAAAATACGTCAATGGGGTCTGCACGTGGCTTTCTTCTGGGATTGACTGTCGTCTGTCAACTAGTGTTTATATGTCTGGTATGGGATTCTCTCAGAGTTAACTCCAATGTCGCCCTTTTAAATAACAACTGTAATACACGTTGGTTGCTTTCGTCGAAGGATGACGACGAGGAGTATTCCCGCGAGTCCTTTACAATGAGAAGTCTTAGCGAAGAGGAGAAGCTTATAGAGATGTGTAAACTTCGTCCGGTAGTACGCGTCAACTGCAGAACACTGTTCACAGGAGATCCAACAGCATTGGCATTAGCGAAAAACACAAGCTACGAAAAAACGACAAACGGCAATTGTTCTTTAGGAAGTCTGGTTGATAAATGTAAGGTGTTAATAAAAGCCCACAGTTACTTGACAGACAGAACTACTATCGACAGTGAGGAACTAGACTACCCACTAGCGTTTGCCATTAAGATGCATAAGTCGCCAGAGCAGGCCGAACAGCTCTTACGCCTTATTTACCGGCCTCACAATGTCTACTGTCTTTACATCGACAAGAAAGCAAATTCAAAAGTATTCGACGTCATGAAAAAGCTTGCCGCCTGCTTTCATAATATTTTCATCATACACGAACGTATTGATATCATTTACGCCAGTCTATCACACGTTTTGGCTGAATTGCAATGCATGCATGAGCTTTTAGCGAGAACGGTTATGTGGAAATACTATATAAATTTAACAGGACAGGAATTACCGCTTAGAACAAACCTGGAAATCGTGAAAATTCTTAAAGCTCTACATGGAACAAATGATATCGAAAGTTTCTTATTTCCGAAGCATTTAAATTTTCGTGTTCAGAAACATTACTCGGTTGTGAAAGGATCATTGAGGGAAGATAAAAATAAAACAAAAGAATTGTTTTCTTATAATGTAACTTTACGTAAAGGCAGCGCATATGGCATTTTTCGAAGGGAGTTCGTAGAATTTCTCCACGAAGATATTGTTGCACAGAAATTCATTCACTGGTTGAACGATTCCTTGTCTCCAGAAGAGACAATATGGGCAACATTAAATGGTCTACCTTGGGCCCCGGGAGGATACTCCGTGGAGACGAGTCACTCTTCCAGCACGTTCTTGTCACGTGCAGTAATATGGTCATGGGACAAACCTCATTGTTTTGGTAAATTCTCGCGTAGCGTATGCATATATGGGATAGGTGACCTCCCATGGCTCTTGTCAAGACCACAATTAATCGCTAATAAATTCGACCGTATGTATGATCCTATTGCACCGGATTGCATAGAAGAATTAATACGAAATCGGACAAATAATATGGATCAGGGTTTTGACCAAATGAACTGGTATTACTATCGAAACCTTCCTCATGTTAGGTACTACGCCGATCAAACGATGAAAGAAAAATCAATGGCGTATTTAGATAAAAAGCGGGAAAATTGGATTAAACAGCAACTGAAGACCAATATAACAAAGATAAAACGAGCTCCATCATAGGAGTAATACGTTTTCTACAACAAAAAACACAAGGTCAATCCGTTCATCATTGTAGGTAAATCTTATTAGGCACGTAATATCAAAACGTGCACCAGCATAGGAGTAATTAATTCTGAGCCATAAAGACACATAATCAAACCATGTACGGTCCCGGATATAAAGTCTTCTCATCAAAAATAAAGATGTTAAAATGCATATTCTTAATGTAAAATATTATCTCAAGTACAGGCATTTTAGATAGTTTGATAGTTTGTGGCGAAAAGATGTATTTTTGCAATTTGAAGACAGGCACATAACAGTTATTAATAAAATTATAAAATATCTAAAATTTTCCAGTTTGATTGAATCACAGGAAATAAGTATGATTCTTTGTTTCTGTTTCGCCTCCTGACATCCCTGTATGTATACGAAAACTGAAAAGCTGTTTGATGCAGCATTATTTATCAGCCGACGTATACCTTAATTCCTACTGAAATCGAATGTTCACTTGTGTGGTTACTGTTCTGCCTGATGAACTAATCTAATCCAATTAAGTTAGAAAATATTCCAAAAGCTGTCTTAGTCTTAATTTTCTTTGTATTCCTAATAATCTTTTATTGAATTCAATCATTTAGCTGTTATTTTTTGTTTGTTTTGTTCACTTTTATGAAAAATAAATGTTATGTAATAATTTTAAGAAACATTTTAGGGTATGAAAAATCCGGATATTTTTATCTTATCAGCGGAAACTGGAGCTGCTAAGTTTGCATGTCCCTACTTACAAAATTAAATCACTTCATGATTTTTGAAATTGATATTAAGGATTATTCAAAGGTGACACAGGTGAATCTGAATCTTTCATACAAATTTGGATTAGATACATCAATGCTAAATAATACGTTAACTACATCACACGACTATTTCCTACGACAGAGCTTTTAACACTATTTTCTCAGTCCACCAAATGCACTCCATCGTTAACATTCCTGTGAGAAGCCGAGATAGTTTGATACTAATGTAAGGAGTGAGGTTGATCTTCCTGGTAATCCTCCATTAGCATTAGATTCTCCCTGCTTATATTACACGTGTACTTGCAACATCAAACGACACACAGGATAGATCGCTGTTCTCAAGATAAGGCCAATCCATACCCCCTACCATTAATAGGCTAGGAAATTGAGATATTTACTCCAAAACATGTTTATATGAACATTTGACCTGGTAGGGGAAATGTTCACCGGAACACTATGAAGTACCTTGATATGTCAAGGTATAACGAGAACATGTCTTCAGTACATTCCACTACCAAAGTCTTGGAACAAGCGTAATGCTTTGATCTCTTGAAATAGAACCAGTAATTATATGAAAATTAGGTGTTGTCTTTAAGGAGGTTTACAGACCCCAGACCTGTCAGTACTCCGCCATTACAAAATGGTCATATGGTATATAGCCTACAGAGAGTGCATATGGTATATGATACATTTTCTGTAACAAATAGAATAATTTGATATACATTTATCAGGGGTTATACTAGATATCTCGATTACATGTAAAACCACTCCAACTCAATTTCAAAACACGAACGTATGTATTTGGTTACAGTTTTTAAGTGTATAAAAACGATCAATATTGATAATGTTTGATGAATACTTTACCAGCTGCAGACCCGATCACACGTAACATTTCAACATGCTTTATTTAATTGATTTTGTCTGATCAGTCACAACATGTCAATGGTATGCGTCATATTTATTAGGACATGTTTGCCTCACGTGCAGTAACGACACTTAACGCCATCTGCAATGAAATAAACAGTGTTATCGCAGTGGTTCCATAATTTAATGATAATTTGTGATTTTAATTAATTGTTGTCATCGTTCAAGGTGTTGGGTTTCATATTTGGTTTATTATCAACACAAGGGTTAATAGATACGATAAACGTTGAGTGGTTTACAAACATTTCACATCCACCACGAACACATTGACCAATCAGAACCAAGCTTGCAACATTCTATTGAAGTATGTGGCTTATGGTTTTCGTAACTTAAATGTACTCTCTTCACTGAGGGCAGGTGTCCTCTGATTTGAGAGCTGCTGGTAGTAAGCGTGGGATATATACATTATTTTGTTTTTTGTTTTATGAGAGTATGTTTTGTAAGTACATGAGAATACGAGAATGCTCATTTTAAGGTGTGCGTCAATTTGAGCCTGTATTGTTTTTTTTCTAATGTGTCGGGAAACATTGTTAATAATTGAAATAATCTATATAAGACAGTGTACTGTAATTCTAACCTGTGATATGACTACACTGTTGGGTAATTGATTTCCATATCCATGCAATGAATAAAACTATTTTGCAGTCAATTTTGTATCTGTTGTCTTTATTACATTTCCAGGGATGACCCGTGTTATGATTCAAACTCAGTATACCAAGGATACACTATGAAGATCGAATTTATCAAGAGATCCACGAAAAAATAGAAGGAAACAAGAATTCTAGAAGGATAGGCACTTTCTGCATTATCGATGACACCCAACAAGTAATTCAGATAAAGAAAAATCTCTTTCTGAAAATGGGAAACATTAAGCTTTTACAGGTTTGACAGTGAAAATTGACATTTAAAATCACAACATGGTTTAGTTTAAACAATATTTTATTCAATAATCAGCACTTTGACATATACAGATAATTTTATGAGCTGGTAAAACAAGCTTAGAGCTTATATTGTTCCTTTCCCAGGGTGTACTTCTGGCTTATCAGGTGATAGTAGTGGTTTTGGTTCAGATGATAATTATATCAATTTGTTAAGTAAACGCAATATAAGTAGGTCTATAGGTTATGATATGATGTGACCAATTCAGGCGACCACCAACTAAAGTATTTAAATTGTTATATCATAAAGTTTGAATAACAAGCTTCGGTGCCATAAAAGATTAGAACAGAGAAGCATTTCCTCTTTATAATGCCTTACCTAGGTACTCTGAATTAATCAAGGTATTTATTTTGTTTTACAAAAGTTGTATCAATGATATAAAAACTGCACAAACCCAGGAATAATACATGATGTAAAACGTTTCGTAGAGAAGGACCGTGCGACCCGTGGCACATAGTTAACTTTTCAGCAATAGAATGTTAAATGAAGACTCTGACACAAATACATTCAATTACATTGTGATTCATTGTTATTTTCTTAGTTGCCTATATAAATGTAACATCTAAATGTATGAAAATATAAGAAAGTCACGTTTATAATATTTAAGGAGATAGATTATGTAATGAGACATGTGATTATACAAGAGGGATAATAAGTTCGGAGATAGAACACGAGGAAGGAAATATTACACAGAAACTCTGATAAATATATTAGCAGGCTGTCACAAAATACGGCCTTATCTGTAGCATAATGTAAACAAAATAAATTTGAAGGCAGACTGACAAAAAACCGGAACGTTGATACAAATGTTATAGTTACCTTGTTAGGTAACAGATGAGTGGTTCCTATCAATCATCTATATACAAAGACATCAGGAAAACATAAAATAAATTTCAATGTTTAAATGCTTCATAATAAATTCTTTTATAATGTCTTTGGAATTAGCAACAAAAGAATTAAAGAAAAAGATATTTTGAGAAGAAACAAAAAACACGAAGATAAACTTTCATATAGGTGACAACAGAGTTATTCTCATCACAACGGAGCTTTGTTTTGCTATGATCATGCCTTTTAAATTGAACTTTGATTTTCTTACTAGCTGCTGCTAAAATACTATATTTGTAAGCCACTTGCAACGCTATCGAGTTCTAAAAGCACAAAACAGCTGTATGATAGCCTGTAAAGTTGATATACTCTCATCTCCACTATATATGTACATGGTGTTATTTATCTAGATATATTATTAAGATTGAAAGTCAATAGAAGAGTTAACAAAATTGAAATATTAGTTTATAGAAACCTAGCAAGAATGGCACGTTGCATTTTAAAAGGCTCCGATACAAAGAAGAACTTGTTATTCCTAAATTTGGTAAAGGCAATTGATCTACATACCGATTAGCTTTATCGACTTTGAAAATGTGATGGTACTTTAAAGGTTTATTTGTCATTACATTTAAGATCTTTTAGAGTTTGATATTGTACTGAGGAAGATGGTATAACACAACTGTCGACTCAACATCTATTTAAATCTTACTGAACAAAATCAGCAGTCAGGGTGATCCAAATTCTAATCAGAACTATGTTTGAATGATTCACAATTAATTGATTAAATAGTGGTTATTATACATATTTTTCATATTTTTCACTGTTCTTCTGTGATTTATTTAATTTTTAGCGAAACATTTAAGGTCAAATCCTTAGTCATCGCAACGACTAACAAACATGAACTGATAAAGTTTTAAAGAGATGATTTTATATGGTTTCAATTTCAATTACGTAATTTCCGCAGATTAGCGCACAGTCTGACGCTAAAATTGATTTTAACGATACCATGAAAAAGGTGAAGAAGGCACGCGTCAACAGGGAGTGTTTGAAAGGTACGAGGAAGTACTCGATATTTTATTACTTACAAGTTGTAACAAGTTTCCTTTACCGATTGATAGATATTGTCTTGTTTCATTTTATAACAAGGACAATATCTACAGCGGATAAAGGGATAGCATGATACACTAATAAAAATAGATATACCATCAAAAAATCATTAAGGTCCTGAGATGCAGGAAGAGAAACTAGAAACTCGATCATTTTTTTATGATTTCGTCCTCCGTGTATTTCTTCATTGGTTTTAACGTATTTTTCAAGAAGCACACTTATCGTCAATCACATTGCTTACAAAAGAAAGTTCTCGTTAGATGAGAACGAGTGTGTTCTTGCAGCTTATACTGGGTATGATGGTGAACAGAGTTGAAAAATCAAATCTTTTTGAAAAAAAATATTTTAGGGGCTGGTGTCGAAGATTCGTTTAAAAACATTTTTGAGTTCTTTAAAATCCACATATTATTTTTTTTCTTGATTTTTTCTCCCTTTCTGGAGTAAACAGTATCACAATAAGACTGTAACCCAGGTTTGATAGTAAGAAGAATTGTAAGTAATTTGGACAACGGTTTGGTTGAACAGATAGACGAGCTAGTAATAAAACGTTGTTGTTTATATGTGTAATTAAAAGTTTAGGAATCCATTATTTAACGGGGAGGTCCTTACCCTTATTATTCATATGTAAACTAAATGTTTGTAATACTGAGGTCTTATGAACCAGCATTCCTTCTTCTTCTAATTTATATCTATGTATTCCTTCGTTTTCAAGCAAGCCCAGTTTTTTTTTACCTTAAGGAAATATAATACTATCTATAGACAAGGATCCAGTTATTTGACGCCGTGTCTGCAGGCGTAATAACATACCTGTCATTTAAAGCTTGAGGTCTTGATTTAAAAGAGAGCATTTTTTCATATTGAAAGTGAAACATGCAAAAAGATTTTTCTTAAAAGGAGGACAACACATCAACCATGAAATATTTCAAGGAGACAAATTAAAAACCGAAGATAGCCTTTAACTGTAAGAAAAGAAGATAATTGTATACAGAAGGCTTAATGATAACGAATTATCCATTATATTCGGAAGCGAATAGAAAGGTGGAA